TTGTCTTGTTTTGTCTTGTCTTATCTTGTTTTGTCTTGTCTTGTTTTATCTTGTCTTGTCTTGTTTTATCTTGTCTTGTTTTGTCTTGTCTTGTTTTATCTGGTCTTGTCTTGTTTTATCTTGTTTTGTCCTATCTTGTTTTATCTTGTCTTGTTTTGTCTTGTTTTATCTTGTCTTGTTTTGTCTTGTCTTGTTTTATCTTGTCTTGTCCTGACAGTTCATTTCTGAACACAAGGTTTGACTGGAAACATAAAGTGAGGCATTCATGGAAACAAACCCTGTAAAAACGATTTTATTGTTGTTTTGGTTTCTGAGGAACAGAAGAGTCTTGGGCAGGCTAAAAAAATAATTCTGCAGACTGTTTCTGAAAAGCGCCATGTCCACACGAAGACACCTGAAACTGAATTTTTTTAAATCTCCACTTGGGATACGTTAAAAAAAATCTGTTTTTCTATATTTTTCAGGTAAAACTCATTTTGTGTGGAACATTTTCTAATTTACTTTTTCGACAAAAACATTTGTAACAACGTGTATTTTAATTTGGAAACCGTGTGGAAATAGTGAGATGGTGGGGCGTTTTTCTGTCCGTACTTTAGCCTCAAACTTAAAATTCACACATAATTACAAACCACTGTCAATTAATCAATCTGATAATGAAACCATAGATGAAATGTATAATTGTATACAGTTTCATGTTACGTTCATGCTATCTTTACGGTTTTATACCCCAGCCTGACAGGTGGCAATAATGCAAAGACTTATCAGTTATTTATTGATGACATGATAGAAAAACAGTCTTGGAGCGATTCCTCACCAGGAAGTGACACGTTCGTTACGGTCCCTGAGAGAGACGTTATCCAGATGTGGAAAGAGGTGAATGTCTTTATGCAGCATTTCTTCAAAACAAGTATTTGTTGGTTTTTGTCTTCTGCTCTAGCTCGACTCGCAGACTTGTCTGTCTGTCAGGTCACCTGTTTAAATGAAGTGTGAGCTTGTCAGAGTCGTGTGAGCTGCTGAGGAACCTGCTGAACAGACGAGAAAGGTGACATTTACGTCACGCAGGCGTTGTTGTCAGCGCAGACACAGGAAGAGCTGCCATGTTTTCAGTCTAAGAAAGATCAAGTTTATTTACAGTGGACACAAACGGGTCCGTTTAAACTGGTCTAGTCTCTTGGAAAACATAAGGGGGAGTGATGGTGCAGAGGTTAGAGAAGGTGGGCCTGTGATTGGAACGTCAACATCTAAATGTGAGTGGGATAGGTAGAACGCCCACACCTGCCTCCACCCTCATTTGCCCCACTCTGGGCCCTTGAGCAAGGCACTTAACCCCCACCATCTGCTCCTCCTGGCCCCTAGTTAAGCGTAGAACCATTAGACTGAGGAACAGCTTCTACCCTGAGGCTGTTAGACTCATGAATCTCTAACTAGAATAATCACTGTGAAAAACCATATCATGTTGCTGCTGATCTGTTTCATGTTGCTGCTGATCTGTTTCAATGTTGATGTGTTCATGCGTGCACATCTGCTCACAGACTCATGTTCATGTTTGTGCTGATGTTCAATGTTTTATGTTATGAGTGCTTAGTGTATATTTAGTTGATGTTTTTCTTAGTTCATATCTTAGATGTTATTACTGTTTTTCTTATACATTTTATTGTTGGATGTAACTGGGACCCCGTGTACATAATTTCGCTCCACCACATGTACCACATGAGGTGCGAATGACAATAAAGAAACTCTGACTCTGACTCTGACTAGATGCAGCACTGCTCCACACAGAGGCTGTGGTCTCTCGGTGTCTGTGGTTGCGTCAGGAAGGGCATCCGGTGTAAAAATAACTGCCAAGTCTTCGTGCGACTTAGTTCACTGTGGCGACCCCTGAAGAAGGAGCAGTCGAAAATAAATAAATAAATTGAAAACATAATTCCATCTGAACTCTTTCTGTTTCAGGGATGCTGTTTTAAACTCCCGATGGCTTCAGAAAAATCAGAAACGGCCTCCTCCATCCTGGAGCTCATCTGCATGAAGCCAGGAGCGTGGGAGTCTGGTCCCAGTCAGCATCTCGTCACCCTGTCTGTCACATGCGTGTCTTAGGTAAGTGTAGGTGGTGTCCTCTGTTGTTCTGAGTGTGGAGAGTAGGGATGAATTGCTCTAATTAGTAACAAATATGAACTGAAGCACCCCCTAAAGCAATGGATCAGCACTACACAACAAGACTGTCAAACTCCGTCACACTGAGGGCTCCTCTCAGTTCATGTTTATAGAAGAAAGATTTAAACTGAACTTGGGTTTTAGATGTGATCTGTCAAAATCATCTTCTTCTTCTTCTTTCAGCTTTTTCCTCTTCAGGTTTCTCCACAGCAAGTCAACCTCCTCTGTCTCACTCTGTCCTTTGCGTCCTCTGTCCTCACTCCAACTACCTCCATGTCTTCTCTAACTGCATCCATAGATCTCCTCTTTGTCTTTTTCCTGCAGCTGCATTTCTAACATCCTTCTACCAATATACCCACTGTCCCTCCTCTGGACATGTCCAAACCATTGTCCCTCCTCTGGACATGTCCAAACCATCTCAGTGTGTCCTCTCTAACTTTACCTCCCAGTTGTTCAACCTGTGCTGTACCTCTGATGATCTCATTCCTGATCTTCTCCATCCTCGTCTCTCCTAAGGAGAACCTCAACATCTTCATTTCTGCCACTTCCAGTTCTGTCTCCTGTCAAAATATTTTTACAGAAACAACAAACGTCTTTTCAGGAATATGTAAAATTTAGAACAATAAACAAATAAAACAGCAATGTTGTCCATATATGTGTTTTGGTCTCTATTTTTACTCACTTTTTCCTTTTCGGGTCACGGGGGTCACTGTTGTCCACGTCCAGCAGTCACTGTCTGAGAGGCGGGGGACATCCTGGACAAGTAGCAAGTACTGAAAACAGTTTCAGCGTCTCAGCGCCACCAGCTGGTGAGAGGTGGTGACGTCAATTTGAACCCCGCCCACTGGAACCAGTACTGAAAGCATAATGGAAACACAACCTGTACCGTACCGAGTAGAGCCGTGCTGTACTGGTACTACAGGTACTAATGGAAAAGGGCTATGTGTGTCCCTGTGATGGACTGGAGACCTGTCCAGGGTGTCCCCCACCTCTCACACGGTGATGGCTGGATATGAGCACCAGTGACCCCCGCAACCCGAAAATGAAGAAGCGGGTAAAGATGATGGATGGATTTCCTAGTTTATTTATCTTTTTACAACAATCTGACAAATTATATAAAAAAAAATAACTAAACAAAAAATGTAAACACATCTACGAACATTTGACTTTTCATTAGAAAATAAAGTCTGCAGTTAAGCTGACTCTGTTGCTCTCGTCAGATCGTTCTGAGCTGCAGGTTCACCAGCAACACTTGAAGTTCTTTGTTGCTCTTTCCACATCACCAGAATTTACAGAACAATCCCAACACCATTGCCCCACCTTTAAAGATGGCTAATGTCCTTGATAAGTCTGCACTGTCTTTTTTTTGTTAAACAAAATCCAAACCAAATGAGCTGTGTTGCTGTTGCTCAAAGGCACATACAGTATCACGATGATTCTCGTCAGTAAAAGTGTGATTAAATACAAGAATCTCATTGTTCTCTAAACTGAGATGAAATTCTGAGGCGTCTAAATGGTTACAGAAGCTCAACAAGTTTAAAAAGTCCAGTTATTATGTAAGGAGATCAGCAACACGTGATAATGACCCTGCTACGCTCTTCACAACCGGGTGTCCAATCCTGCTCGTCGAGGGCCTCTGTGCTGCAGGTTTTAGATGTTTCTCTGCTCTAGCACGCCTGATTTGGATGAATGGGTGATTAACAGGCTTCTGCAGAACTCGAGAAGGTAATTTGATCACTGAATCAGGTGTTCGAGCAGGGAAACGACTGAAACATGCAGGATAGCAGCCCTTGAGGACCAGGACTGGACGCCGTTGTTTCAGAACTTGGCTGTTTCCCATGCTCCACCAGGACCTGAATATGCTGATGATAAAACAACACGACCTCACTACAGAAATTTTGCGCATGCTCTAAACCAGGGGTGCCCAATACGTCGATCGCGATCTACCAGTCGATCACAAAGGTGTTATTGGTAGATTGCATGGCATAAAATAAATAAAAATAGACGTCAGCCTATCACCCATCCTCGCTATGAACTTTGTTACTTGATTGACATACAGGGCAGCCAGTCACAGCCCTCACTCTCTCAAAGCAGGTCTCGGAGTGGAGACTTTCAGAGAAAATATTTATATTTATCGCCCCAATAAAATTCTCCATGTGAGAAGTCACACATGCGCACTCCAGGCGGCTGCAGTCAAAAGTTTTCCTGCACTAACAACAGTTATAATAAATGTCAGAGAGCAGAGTGTGTTTGTGCTACTCACCCTTTTTCAGCATCTAGGAGCAAAACTAATAAAATCCAGTTACAAAGAGACGTTGGTGTGTTCACCAGTTTGGATGTAACTGTGATCCTGCAGACGCTGCACGCACGATGAATGCAGCTGAGTTGGCTTCAGCGTTGCCAGATAAATTTAAAGCATCTTATTGACCCCCTCCTTTTCTGTGCACATTTTAAACAAACCCAGCACACACCTCATCTTAGAATATCTTTACTCAGCACATATGACAGTTTAGGTCATAATACTATCATTTTAAAGCGATAGTACTATAGTTCATAATTTCTTATCTGGCAACCTGACTGATAAGGAAACTACAGTGTTTTTCATGTAAACCCGCTCTTGTTTTGGTTATTACCCCAATAAACATTGGAAACACACTGTTTCCAGAGGTTGTTATTGTGTAAACGGGGCCTTACAGTAGGTAGATCACTTTGACTTACATTTTTAAAGTAGCTTGCATGATGAAAAAGTGTGGGCACCCCTGATCTAAACCTTCATGATGTGGAGGCGATTGTGTTCTTAGTGTGGCCCTGAAGACCTCATCGTGACCCTGCAAAGTCCGTCCACATTCTGGCACATTTTATTACCTCGTAGCTGAGTCATCATCCAGTGTGAAGCAGGCCTAACTGGACTTGGACTACAGAGAGCATCTTTAATGAAAACAGAAAAAAAGCAAGGTAGCACATGCTAGCATGTAGGCTGTTTATTCCAGAAGTTCAAATCAGTGTAGAGTGGTTGAAATATATTATATGGAAAAGGTTTATGTTGGATTTGTTGCTGAATGTTGTTCTAAAACCTGCATTCACTATTCTGTACTGATCGTGTCTTTCCAGGTGTGTAAGCTTCCCATGCCATAGGCATAGGTAATGTACCCCAATACCATCAGAGAGATAGGCTTTTGAACCGTGCACTAATTACAAGATGAACTGTCCTTCTTCTTCCTAGTACAGATTATATATGTCCATGGTTTAAAGAAAATCCAATTTAGATTTTATCAATAAAACTTTTTTTTTTTTGCCTCGGTCCATTTTAAATGAGTTTATCTAAAACAGGATTGTGGTGTTTCTGGATGGTGTTCACATACGGCTTCTTCTTGGCATGACAGAGTTTTAACCATGATCTGTGTATGGTATATTGAATGGTGTTTACAGACAATGATCTGTGCAAGTGTTCCTGGGCCCCTGCAGTGACGTTCACAACAGAATCAGACCTGTTTTTAATACAGTGGCCCCTAATGGCCCTAAGATCCTGAGCATCCAATATAGACATACCAACATGTCTGTGTTAAATACTAAGTGACAAAAATGAGCAAGTGTATTCAATACTTGTCTCTTAGCAGTCAGGCCACACTGCTGGCAGTAAACTGGTGTCATGTGCTCGGCTCAATTGGAAATGTATGATTCTTGTCTTTGTTTGGGGAGAGGAGGCAGGATTAAGGAGAAAATGAGGGAAAAAATGTTACCGTTTCTGTTCCTGAAGGATTAAGGACGAAAATGCTCCTTGTATGTAGCTAATCTAAGCTCTGAAACCTTTGACCTCCTGAAACATATTCTTCCTCAGTCTTCGCCCCAAACTGTAGAGTAGATCTGCTTGTCTCTGTTCCCAAATCTTCCTTCAATCCTGGCTTTGCTGTATGTTGTTTTAGTTAAGTCCATAATATTGAATGTTCATTCACTGTGTGTTTGTAGCTTTTTGGTGGCTAAAGTCTTCATATCTTTGTCTAGATCCAGAGTGTGGGCAACATGCCTTGGGGCCACAGGAAAGCACGGATGCTCTGCATAGTGATGATGCTGAACTTTATTTGTCTTTTCATGGGCCTGTTGTGGAAATTTGGGAACAACAGTCAGAAGAAGATTCGAATCCCATCCCAGAGGTTTTGGCACCAAAAGATTCTAAGTAAATCCTTCTGGAACAAGGAGCAGGAGTGCCTGGACATGATTCACAACCCAGTTTTCAGCTCCCTTTTCTCCAGCGACTCCCTCTTCACACTACCGGATTGGCTGAACAACACTGGACCTCTTGACCCCTGTGAACCAGATTACAGAGTCCAAACACAAATCTTGGACTATAACACCCTGCCGCAGCGGTTTCAAGACTTTCTCCTACATATGCGCTGCAGGTCATACCCTATGCTGATCAATCAGCCCCACAAATGTGATGTACCCCCCTTTCTACTGCTGGTGGTCAAGTCGCTGACCCCGCATTTTGACCGCCGGCAGGCCATTCGTGAAACATGGGGCCGAGCAGGCCTCCTGTCCAATCGAACAGTGGTGACCGTGTTCCTGCTCGGCAGCACTTCGTCAGTAGATAGTTTCCCAGATCTGCAGGAGTTGCTGGACCACGAAGCGAAGCTTCACAAAGACTTACTACAGTGGGACTACAGGGACACTTTCTTTAACCTCACCCTCAAAGAGGTCCTTTTTCTGCAATGGTTCAACAAACACTGTCCTCGAGCTCAGTATGTTCTAAAGGGGGATGATGACGTCTTTGTCAACACATTACGAATTATCGACTTATTGAAAGGTTTGTCTGAGGCTGAGGCTAAAGACCTGTTTATAGGTGATGTTATAAGTAATGCAGGTCCACACAGAGATCAAAAACTGAAGTATTTTATCCCTGAGAGTGTGTTTGAGGGTCAGTACCCACCCTATGCCGGTGGTGGGGGATATCTGTTGTCTGGGGAGTTAGCATTGCGTCTTTACAACATTTCCCAGCAGGTAGTCTTGTATCCCATTGATGATGTCTACACAGGGATGTGCCTGATGAAGCTCGGCCTGGTTCCTGAGAGGCACGTTGACTTCAGAACCTTTGACATTGAGGAGAAGCACAGGAACAACCCCTGTATCCACCGAAGCTTGATGCTGGTTCACAGCCGAACGCCGCAGGAGATGCTAAAGATCTGGCCGTGGATTGTCCACCCTGAGCTGGACTGCCAGTGAACTGCTTCAGTTTGTTTGTGCAGGTGAATCAGCCGTTGATGTTGTGAAACATTTAAATCAGAGTTGTATCACCTTTTTTTTAGCATTTTAAATTAATCAAAAATTATTTATCGTTTTAAATATGAGTGCACTTTGGTTAATAAATTCAAGCTGTGTCTGCTGAAAGTTGTTTGGTTTTTATATACTGTATTTAAATTATTTTTAAAGTACACAGTGTAACTCAAACAGCTTTCAGTTTGCTAAAAAAGCAGAACAAGCAAGGGTAAATATGATATTAGCCTTCAACCATTTGGAAAATCCTTTTTTCCCCCTCAACAAAATAAAAATATAGAAAAGACTCATTTGTTTATTTGTGCATGTTCATGTGGACTGAATAAACTAATAAATGATGGTTTTATGGAATAAAATTTGGCTAAGTTTGTATTGTCTACAGGCAGCACGGTGGCGCAACTGCTAGAGCTGCTGCCTCTCAGAGAGCAGGTCCCTGGTTCAAATCCCGGTTCGGGGGCCTTTCTGGGTGGAGTTTGCATGTTCTCTCCGTGCATGCGTGGGTTTTCTCCGGGTACTCCGGTTTCCTCCCACAGACCAAAAACATGCATGTTAGGCTGATTGGTAACTCTAAATTGTACCTAGGTGTGAATGAGAGAGTGAATGTTTGTTTGTCTCGTTTGTCTCTATGTGTCCCTGTGATGGACTTGCGACCCATCCAGGGTGTCCCCCGCCCCTCGCACAGTGATTGCTGGACATGGGCACCAGCGACCCCCGTGACCCAAAATGGAAGAAGCGGGTAAAAGATAATGGATGGATGGATGAATTGTCTACCTCAGCGCTTTATATGAGGAGACTCGAGATCAAAACCACATTCTAGAATACTTTAACGTGTGTCAAAGAACAGAAGTCTTCAAAGGTGGGGATTGGGTAAAAATGATAAAACGGTTGAGCTGAAGGCTTCAGTTTAAGTGGACCACTGGTGTTTTTTTGTTTTTCCCCTCCCTGGCTCTTGATCAAGGTGGTTGCTTCTGTCTTTCCTCCCCCGTTTTTCCTTCCTCCTGCTCTGCTCTCTGTGTGTCTGAAGCAGCTGGTTCACATCTCCCGAACGTAAATTAAGAAGATTATGGATCTGGTTTCCTGGGCGTTCAACTCTATTGATACGATTTTTTCAACGAAACGACAAGGTCCTGGAGAAACTGCGTGTCCAGCTGAGACTCACGCTGTGGGGTACGTCATGGACCCGTGGGGAGTGTGGCAGATGATGTGCCTCTCAGTCCTGTCTCAGGAGGATGCTGAAGACGTTTACATATTTGGATTTATGATAGCAGGGACTCTGCTTTTTGGCATCGGCGGGACTCTGTTTTATCGACTATTGAAAAAGACATCGGCAGCAGTTTCGGCCATGGCAAAGCTTCCGAGTCGGTGTGAAGGTTTGGTTCACGGTGTAGGAACTCTAAATCAACTGGTTTATGAGCTAAACCATAAGGTGGAGATGATTTATGAGAATCGCAGGCCACCTGTGGCTTCTGGGACTCGTCAGCGTGGTGGTTCGACTTTGAGGGAGACTCATAACATGGATCAGTGGAATGGATTCCCACAATTAGGCCATTTTGGAACCAGAACGTCCAGATGCACTCAAGGCTGAAGAACAACAACAATCAAAGCTGATCTGAATCTGACTCCCAACGGCCTCGGAATGGGACAACTATCAAATTTCTCCTGGGTCATGGGTAACTAAGGACAAAAGCTTCATCTATCCCCCCCGAGAACTTTCTGTGCAGGCTTATCAGAACTGCTGGCTGGAACAACATCTTCAGAAACTGTGGCTGAGCTGAAAAACGCTCATGGACAAATCTCAACACCTTCACGTCAAATGCAAATGTGATCATGTTTTAATTGAGCTGCTGGTAGAGTTTTTTTGATGTCTCAAATCGTGTCCTGATAGACAAGATGTGAAAGATCTTTTTTTGTAAAACCACTATCTGCCCTCATGTTTCTCCCCATTTTCCTGTCTAAGATTATTATCTGATAAAGGACAAGAGAGGCCGCGCTTACAGCAGCAGCTTCGTGCACTCACTCCATCTTCCTGACGACTGCATGTACATGTTCTCGTTGTATCTCGGTGCAATGATAATAAAGCTTATTCTGATTTTAGACTATCTGTGAAGGTTGAAGATCTTGTGAAACAACAGTAGATAAGAAAAACACGAACGCTAAATTGAAATATGCAAAATGGAAAGCAGTCACCAAAGAAACCATTTTGGAGGTGTCTGTGTTGGACCCAAAAATTTGGTTTTAAACTGGTTACGAACAAATTCTGGACAAAATCTTAAACTCAAAGTGGAGTGAAATAAGCTGTAAATTTCTGACCTTCCTTTTATTTTACAGAAAAAGTAATATAAAATATCACCAGCTGAACTCAATAAACATTTTATGTTCTGCTTCTAAAGTCCAACCCCCTGGATAAACCTGAACCAGCCTTGATGTCGGCGTGTTTGCTAAAGTTTTTCTGTTAGCCGGCTAACAGCAGTGTGTGTTATTTTGTATTGAAAGTTGTATTTAAGATTTAACCTACTTTTCATTTGAAGCACACATAAATTAATATTCATCTGATAATGCTGATTCTATAAAAAATATATATATATCATGTATTTGTGTCTTAGAGAGTGCTGTGGATTCTGTCATAGTTAAAACCACAGTGGGGGTTATTATTTACTGAACAGGACACAAATATTCATTTGAAAATCATGTTTCTCTTCCATCAAAGTTAAGTCACGTCATCTGGACGGTTTCATTTTGTTGAAACGTTTTCATCTTTCATCCAGAAGACTTCATCAGTCCTAGGGGCCATAAATAGCAGTCATGGCCAAAGTCCTGATTCATGCTCAATAATCCAGGTAGAAAAATCCAACAAAGTGAAGTCGGGTCCTCTGGACAGTTACTGTTTCATCTTTCGTTCAAGAAATACAACAAATATTTTGAAACATATTTTGAACCACTTTGGCCATAACTGCCTCAAACGAGTCGGCGGAGGAGAGGTCGGACTCCAGAAACCATCTGAGCACCATCAAACTGGCTGACCCACTATGTGAAGGTGCTGTTTATAAGACTGAGTTTGTTGTGGCTCCTCGGACTGATGAGGATAAAAGACGAAACATTTCAACACAAAGAAACCCTCCAGATAACCTGATGAACTCGGCTGGATTTTTCTACCAGGGTTATTGAGCAGGAATCAGGACATGTTTATCTTGATTTAATGAAATAAAATTGGACCCAGTGTGTGTGACAAAATACAAAGTGGGTGAAAAAGAAACTGCGACATGACGGTAATGTCAGTGTGACAATATTTCACAAAACTGTTTCCATTTTTCTACCCTTGGGGTGAAAAATGAGAGTAAATGAAGTAAAGACCGTTCTTGGGTTAGGAAATGGAGGCAAACGTTAAACAAGTAGGTATGTCACCGCCATCTGCTGGTACACACATGAACATGAAGTCTGTAAAGGAAACAATCAGCTCCTTGATGAAGTTCACCTGGTTAGACGGTGAAGGAAGTGAGGAGTTTAGCAGGTTAACTGAAGCTCAGAGGTTTACCTTGGTGTTGTTATTTCCCCCATAACTCTATTTAAAATAAGTTTGGTAGACAAAATGACTCAAATGTTCTTCCTAAACTTTACCAGCAGGCTGCTTGTATTTTTATTGACGTTTGGAAAACTCATTAACGTTAAGGTAGGATACCATTACCAACCATTACCTCTAAAACAATACTTTTTTTGTGTTTAAAATCCAAGTTATTACATTTTTGTTTATGATTTTTGCAGGGGAACACGGAGGGAGTCACCAGGCCTCCAGGTGAGACCGGTTTTCACTTGATGTTAGGGCTGCAGTTTGAAAATGAACTAAATTCTTCAGCATTGTGGAATGGAAACGTAGTGGGAGAAGTGGGTTTAATCCAGATAATGTTGGCTAATTGCTCTTTTCTTGGCTAAAAACTTGTTGGAAAAGAGAAAATTCCAACACGCATGTCATTATCTACGTTATAAAGTCATAAAAATTATAGTTGATTTATATTTATTTAAACATGCTGTGAAAAAAAACTGCTCGGTTTTATTTTTAAGTGCTAAGTTTCCTTACGACAGTCCATTTAGAGTTTTATTTCAGTCAACTATCAAATTACCAAAACTTTAAATATTCTTTTAATATGCAACAATTTTCAGTCGGGTCATCTGGACAGTTTCTTTTTGACCTGACTGAAAATTGTTGGATTGTATACCTGGATTATTGAGTATGGACTTTTCTGTTTTTGATTAATTTAATAGTTTTTCCTCAATGACTTATTTCTAATGATCTGTTGAAGACTATCTTGTCCAAACCTCCGTCTGTTTTGTGAGGCGTTAAATACTAGAACATGTTGCCCACATTAAAAAGAGAGCGTGTGGTTTTTATCCAGTCGTGAATAAACATCTGGGTGGCTCCGGAGATTGGAAAAGTTAATTAGAAGTTTAGATTAAACTGAGCCCAAACAGTTGTTTTAATCGTGTCCGAGTCGTGTTGGTGACCCGTCCGTCTCTCCTCAGATGGACAGAAGGGGGACGGCAGTGCTTTCTTTGCCCTGCGGAGTTGCCACCAGTTGCTGCACAGTGACAGCAGTGAGTTCTTCTCCCCTGATTACTTGTGCTCCAACCCTCCTCTGTGGTGCAACTGGACCATCCAGGTGGATCCCGGGAAGAGGATCCATCTCCGTCTGGAGGACTTGACCCCCGATGAGACCTGCCAGCTCAAACAGGACCAGATCCATGTAGACGAGCCTGCTGGCCACTCGGGGAGTCACAAAGTGCTGCAGAAGTGTTGGCAGGAAGCAAAGTTCACATCGTCCTCCAACACACTGTATGTAGTGCTCCTGATTGGTGGTTGGCCCAGTCCTCCCTACAGGGGCTTCTACGGACGATACCAGGCATTTGGACCGCCGGTGGTTTACCATCCCCAGAAAGACTCCACAGGAAAAAGAAAGGGGACTGAGCCGTCTGCTGGACTCTCGGACCTCAATGAATTTGAATCAGTTACAAACGAGGATCAAACAGAATTGGCGAACTCTGATATGGCTTACGATTACTATAATCAGCATTTAACTATGACTGCCAGGCTGCCCTGGGTGTCCAGTGGTGCAGACAGAGGGACAGAGGGGGGTAAGGTAAGAGATAACTCCACCGCTTGTCATGTGAAGCTGTTTTTGTGCATGAGGTGACTACAGGTACTTTGCTGCTCTTTCTCCTGAGGGAGTTCAGTTAATTTAAAGTTAATCTTCTGTCTTTAGGCAGCTGAGAACCCACATCCACCCTCGGGGAACAACAGCCATGTCTACCAGTATGCGGCTGCACCCACTGTGCCAACCCCCACCCAAAAGACCTTGCGATCAGGAAGAGGTGTCGCCTACAGCCATTCAAGTCAGGCTGACTCGGCTGCTCTTTCCGAGTCCTCGCAGCAGCACCATGTCGGTGATGGGTTCAAACACAACAAAACCGCCAAAACACAGGAAGCTGCTAACGCTGAAGAGAAAAGCAGACCATTTGTGGGGGGTTCAGCAAAAACTGAACGTGAGAACAGACTGGAGGCCGGCCACAGCTCAGACCAGCCACCCCCCTCCTCTGATGGCACAGAACCACGACACACTGACCATCGTCACCCCAACATGGCGGCGCCTCAACCTGACGACAAAGGAAACCGTGAGTACATCTGAGCTAAAAATGTTGCTTTTTTCAGTTTCTCGTTAACTTGAGCCACTTACACAAGCTTGGTTTTTGTCCAATGTGTCTTGATTTAGTCTGAATTTGTAAAAAGGTGATTTTTTTTTTTTTAAGCAAAGCTTTTAAAACGTGAGATGAAGAATTAGAAATGCTGCAAACCTTAGATGTTAAACTAAAACTACAGACACACCCAGGTACACCAATCACCATGAAGAATAAAATAATGACATTTAAATGATCATCAATTGTAAATACAAGTTGTTTTATGAGTTCTGCTGTTTTACTTCAGTGTTGTAGCCCGTTTCATTGAAGCAGTTCTTTATTTTTTTCTAGACCCAAACACGTATTGTCTTTGATTTGTTATGCATATGATGCCATGTATTTAGTGTTAATTTTTATCCTTTCTCTGCCTTTGCACTAGAAAAAAACATTTAAGTGGTCTTTTTGAAAGTAATTGTTTTTAATTTTTTAAATTTGCCTATACTGTGTGGTTGTGCTGTCAGTTTACTACACATCTGCAAATTTGGTAAAGTTGAGTGTATGTGAAATGGGAGGCGGCCAACATTTGGTAGGTATATTTGCTGCGAGTATAAAAACACTCATTTTGGTACTAATGGATTAAGTGTGTAAAGGATTATTTAAGCCTCAAAATATAAATTTGATGGTAGAAATGCATCTACAAGGAAATCACAACTGAGTCCTCTTGGATCACATCTCCACTATGCCGTCTACGACTTTCACAATTAACACTGTTGCTGGATTTTATCATGGAAATTTTGAAACACCTTCAGTGTCAAAGTATGATGGTGCTACGCTCTTGTTACTTGACAAAGATTAAAATTGTTCCAGGTCTGCATCAGTAATCCGCTAGAAGATGATGGTGCACAAAAATAGTGCTTCTGCCACGCTTGCACTAAATTCTTTCAATGATCTCGTCATGATCACAGTTGCAGCCCAGATGTGAGGCTGATACAGTCTTTAAGTTCTTGTAAACCCTAACTCTCCATGACTCACCACAACTGTGTTTTATCTGAAAACTTTGCCAAAACTCTGCAAAGATCATCGATGTTCTGGTTGTTCAACATAAGATGGGGGCGATTCAAGGATTCTTATCTTTTGGGGTGCTTAGCCTCCAGTATGGCTCTTGGGTTGAACAATGCACCTCTTGTGTGGTTTTTTGAGAAGTGCAAAAGCTTACAGCACCTGGTATTCCCGGACGGTCTCTCATCCAAGTACTAAGCAGGCCCGACCCTACCTAGCTTCTTAAATCAGACGAGATCGGGTGTGTTCAGGGTGGTATGGTCGTAAAAGAGGAGTTCAGTCACATATTAGACTTTTAAAAGATCATTGCAAATAGACTCGACTTAAGCAACCAGTTATGGACAAATATGTTAATAACTGGTTGAACAAACCTTTAATTTGACCATTAACCTTTTCTGCTGAATGTTCGTAATGCAAAACTCCTACAATATTGTCGGAGGAAAAGGGGGTTTTGCTCCTGCAGATAAGGGGCGTTTACCTTCAGGAGAAATTGAGGTCACCGATTGGTCAGTTGCTGACAAAACGTACTTGATTGATTGACAGGTGCCGTTGAGGATCAGACTAGTGCAAAATAAATCATAGATTTTACTGGCCTGTTTAAGAGTGTCATCATTTATTCCATATTTATTCCAAATTCATTAAATATTTTGGTGAATCTAAGTTTTTTTGAGAACTGAGTTTCCTTACAAAACCCTGATTTCTTTATTTTTCAGGGGTGCCGAGTTAAAATTTAGAGGTGCTTGAGCACCCCCAAAAAGAGGCTAAAATCATCACTGACATCAGACCTGACAATGACTTGGATGTTGGACCCTTTAACACGGCACAATGTCCTGGTTAAAACTCATTTGCTTTGTTTTGCTCCAGTTTCTTAACAGTGATCATATCAAAGTCTGTCTGGGATTTTGTCTGCCTGAGGGCATTTGTCATGTAGAACAGCTGGGTAGTCAAACTTGACTTTTTGGTTGAAGAGCATTTGCAAGTATGAAGTATGAATGACATTAATTTTTAAGTCTGCTAAGAACCACAGTTGTTTCAAGGAAATGGTTCCATTTGTAGCTGTAGTCAGGGCTTAATTTGTAAACTGATTGATGCTGGAACGCAAATAGTGGGCGGACCGGGTGGGAGGGAGGACGCGCATGCTCACAAGACAAGTTGTCTAATGACAAAATATATTTTGTTAGCAAAGAATAGTCCTAACGTTTATTAAACATCCATCCATTATCTTTTACCCGCTTCTTCCATTTTGAGTCACAGGGGTCGCCGGTGCCCATGTCCAGCAATCACTGTGCGAGGGGCGGGGGACACCCTGGACAACTCGCAAGTCCATCACAGGGACAAACGAGACGAACAACCATTCACTCTCTCTCTCACACCTAGGGACAATTTAGAGTTACCAGTCAGTCTAACATGCATGTTTTTGGTGTGTGGGAGGAAACCGGAGTACCCAGAGAAAACCCACACATGCACGAAGAGAACATTCAAACGCCACCCAGAAAGGCCCCCGGACCGGGATTTGAACCGGCAACCTTCTCGCTGAGAGGCAGCAACTCTACCATTTGTGCCACCGTGCTGCCCTTTAATTAAACATTACTTCTGTATTTACCAAAACAAACAAAAAAAAACCCTCATCAATTGTGCTTTGACAAACATCGATAAAACTAAAGTTTTGTCAACGTGAAAGAGGAAAAGAGGGGCAGGTATCACTCTTGCTTTGAGCTTATACTCTTTGTTGCATGCGTGCTGTGGGTGACAAGCGTCCAGAGCGTCATAAAAACAACAGTGAAGGCGTCTGAGTTTAGTTATCGTCTCAGCAGCAGAGGGGAGCGACACGGTTCAAGCTTGGCTTCCAAAATGACAAGGCAGTCATATTAACAAATAATAATTTTATTATTAGTATTTCTTAGAGTTGCCAGATCCAAGCAAACAGTTTCCAGAACACACCCTGACAAAATGAGAGTTCCCAGATCTTATTCCGGCAGGATCTGGTTCAAATTAAGCCCTGGCTGTAGTTCCCCAAGGAGGGATCTGGGTTCTGAGCTGCCTAAAGATGAAAGTTGGAGTTTCAATTAATTAAACTTTCCTCAGGAAGGAAAAGAGCAGCAAACGGTGAAGAGAGAGCTGAGCTGTAAGGCAAAGCTCTCTGTTTAATGGTCGGTCAACGTTCCTACCCTCACCACATGGTCATGAGCTCTGGTTAGGATGCTCCCTGGGCGCCTCCTGGGGGGAGGTGCTTCAGGCGTGTCAGACTTGGAGGAGACCCAGGACACGCTGGAGAAACTGTCTCTCAGTTGGCCTGGGAACACCTTGGAGTCCTCCCAGAAGAACTGGAAGAGGTGGCTGTGGAAAGAGATGTCTGGACCTCCCTGCTCAAGCTGCTGCCCCAGAGACCTGACTTTGGAACAAGCAGAAGACTGATGGATGATCTCCTGTAGTTGCTATTGTTGCATGTTTTGTGGATTTTTCTGCTCTAAATTGCCTGAACACAAACGGTTGAAATTAAAGATGTCTTCAAAAATGGTCTTTGAATTGGTTTATTTCAATAAACAGACAAGATGTCACACCGTGTCTGCAGGAGAGTGCCCGGAGGAGTCTCGCTGCTGAGATATTTATAAACTTGCAGGGGAGCTAATCGACAACCTCTCGGTTCTGTTGGACCGAGCCAGGCTTGGGATGTGTGGCGCAGCTGTTCCACCGTCTCGGAGCACAGCTGCCTGCACAATCCGTACCAACAGGAACTTGCTTTGACTACAGCTGCAACTGAGATTACAAATTACAGCCTCAATGGAAATTTACAGCTTTACTAGGACGCTCCAAACAATAAGAAGAAATTAAATAATCTATGCATGCAAGGTTCCCATCACACACGAGGCTTACTTTAGCAAACTATTTTTTTTAAAACACTTTTAAAATCTTCTCTCTGTAGATCTAATGAAAACATTTTGGAGGTATATTTAGCTTGTGTGGTCATAAATAATAGGGTTCTCATCTAAATCTGTTGAAATGATTTCTGTTTGAATTTATGATTTTTGTTTGTGTCTCAGTGAACATGAAGAATCGCTCAGAAAATCCACACCTTCCTGGTGGTGAGTATTTGACCAGTAAAAACGACATACATTCTTATTAAGCCGTATCGTTTCTCTGGTTTAAAAAAAAAAAAAAGAGAAAGCATTTGATTTTCTTACAACAAATGAAACATTGCTACCAAAGCTGTGAACAGAAGGTTTGTTTTGTTGGTACTTTGACTACAGTTACAGTGTTTTGGGTCTCTGACAGATCACCTGTTCGAAGTGTCTGTCGAGGTGAATTTCAGTCATGATTTGGATGATTCCTGGGACAACTTGGCTAGGCAGCTGCTGCTGTCAGTAAAAGCTTTGGTACGTTGCCTAATGACCAGAACAAAAGGAATTCATGAAAGAATCATGACAAACAGGATGTCTGTGACATGTCAAGAACTCGACACTTAATTTTTCTGCAGATCACCAAACAGCTGGGCACCCTTCACACACAACTGTCCCTCTCCTCAAAAAGAATAAAAAGGTTTGTTGAAAACATGAACAAAATTATCTAGTTATTTGAATATATACTGTGAGTATATTTTGTAGGTAAAATAAGTGGACATATAATACAGGAAATCAAAAGCCAATGAATGATGGTGGTGGAGAGCAATTTTAGATGCATGAAACTGATGAGTTCAGGTGCTGTGAAGATCTATGTGGGTTTTGTGTGCAGGTTGAATGCTGGAGCACTTTACATCCTCTGGCTGCAGATTGGACAAGGGCCTGGAGGTATGCAGATCCACAGGGCCGTCCACTCAGCCATGCAGGGGCTCCTCGCCACAGGCGTTAACCTCCGAGTCGGTCGCAGGAATGCTGTCATTATGTCTGTGTCCACCGCAGGTACGTCAGGACTACAGTTTAGATCTTAAACACTTTAAAATCTTAAATGTCTGTCAAAATAGTGACTAAAGTTTGCCTGAAATGCTTCAGTTAAAGAAGAAACCAGATGTCACAATGGTGATACTGGTTAATTTGAGCCGGATTCTGCCGGAACAAGTTACGGGAACTCCTCATTTTGATTCGCTGTGTTCCGGCAACTCAAATCTCTGTCCCTAAAAGTCCAAAGTCATCGCACATTTTTATTTTGAATATTTATTAAAAATACAATGAGAAGAGATGTTTCCCTTAGCCCGGCGGACCCAGTCTGTGGAGTGGATGTTCCAGCCGCAGCACACGCAACGCACCAGCTCGCTTACACGCTCCTTTCGAGGAGCAGGAGAGGAGGCTGGAGAAGGCGGCGGGGGGTGTGAGGACGGAGGGACAGATGGTAACAATTATGCTCGGAGGTGCTACATGGAGTCCTCTCCTCCTCCTCCAAATATTGTCCCTACTCAGCGGGGCTGAGCACTGAAAAACACCCCCTCTCCCCTCCTCTGAGCCCCCAAATGGAAATGATCATTTATTCAACAGAATAAATAAATGTCCTGTGGACAGTGCACGTTACGCACAGAAACTTCTCCAGACAGCTCAACACAGCGCGCGCAACCGCTGATGTGTCTGAACTCCTGCTACATTTCAGACATAAAGAATAAAAAAAGCTTACTGTAAAAAACGAATGAATACAAAGAGAGAAATGTTTTATGTTCACATTACGTCGCATTTCAAAACAACACTAATTTGTCAAAACAATAGCAATCAAAATGTCAAAGACAGTCTAATTTACTTCAATAAAATAAATGGATGGATGAATTGATTGTCCTTAGTTGGACAACCGAAAATTGAAGCATTTAGGTGCTTCAAACGAGACTGGAGCAGGAGCAACAAATTCAGCGGAGACGAGTTCAGCTCAGAACTGTGAAGTGGGGAGGAGGGGGGTTTAGGACACCTGACAGAATCGGGGCTGCTCTATTCACACACAACCTGCTGTTCCTCTCCAAAATACTGGTTTTATTAAGTGTTTACAAATGTAGGTAAATGTAGATGTTTGACAACCTGTTAAAATTCACCAAAATGCAGGAAATTGCATCTCTGTTATTCTCTGTTATTCTGTGGGGGCACCCACAGACCGGCGCCCCCCCCCCCCCCCCCCCCCCCCCCCCCCCCACATACACCTGGCCCGCCCGCTGTTCTGCTTCTGGCTTGTCATTACTAAAACTGACGCATCACATAGTTTCAGCAATCTAGAGCAATATTGGCAGGAAGTCGAGGTCAAAAACAGCTCAGCGGTTTGTGTGTGTTACAGATGTGAATGAGTGTGGGACCCAGCTGGTTCTGTGTGACGTTAACGCAGACTGTGTGAACCACTTTGGCACGTACTCCTGCCATTGCAGGCCAGGCTTTCATGACCAGTCCCGGTTGGGATCAGGAGGAACCATCTGCATGAAGACTCAGCCTGCAGGTTCTTCTCTTTGTTGTTAAGCTAACACACACACAGGAGCTGGTAGTTGGTAGCTGACTTGTTGTTTTCCTGCAGGCTGCAGCTCAGGCCTGTCCTCGGAGACCAAAGGCGTCTACGTGCTTTTCTTTCTGCTCAGCTCCCTCATCCTGATGCTGCTGGTGGTGGCAGGCATGCTCTACCACCGCCACCACCGGGGGGCATTTATGGTCCACTGCCACAGCAGCAGCAGCATCTCCCCATCTGACCCGAACAACAACCACCACCTCCATCCTGATGAAAACTACTCCACGCCGACAGACTGCGACCTGCCCCCGCCACCTCCACCACCTGCGAGGGGCACAAAAGAGGCTTGGACCCCGGTGAAGGAGCGCTGCTCCCCCATGGACCTGACACTGCTGCGTTTCAACCCCCTGCTGCCACCAGACAGCTACATAGATCCACAGGACAGTGGAAAGATCTAAACAGTGCGTGTTCTCAATATTCATTCAAGATTTTTTAGTTTTCTTTGTTTGAGTAATATTGTTCAGTGTGTGAATCCTGTTCAAATAAAGTCACAACAAAACAGCAACACATTGTTCTGGATTTACATTTTACTTCTCCACAGAACCTGCACAGATCAGGCTTAAAAGGCCTTGCAGAGCTACATGACAATAATGTAAGAATCTGTGATGTACATGCAAATGTGTGGGACCCATCTGCTTTTGTGTGACATGAACTCTGTGAACCAGAGATCTGTAGTATGTCAGGACAGCTGTTGCTGTTGACACACTACTACCATTTGTTATTTAAAACACGTATGGGCCGCCATTTATGTAGTGAGCTAAGGCGTTAACCTCACTACTAAATTATTCTTAAAGCTAGTTCAAGCACAAAGAATATTAATTGTTTAATTACAACGGATTATTTTCTTTTTCAAGGTAAATTTCTGCCATGTGACGAAGATAACTGTGAGTGGTGGGTTTAATCAGTGACATGAAACGTCATTTTATCTTTGACCCATCAGAATAAATGCGGTCATTTATTTAACAGAATCAAAATTTAACATCAAAACATGTACACATTGATTTGCTGATCTGTTTCTGATTAATAAACTTGGCACGCTTTACTAACAAGACAACAGAACATTACTGATCGAGACCGATTCACCTCTGAAGGCATCTACAGGTCCTTCTCAAAAAATTAGTATATTGTGATAAAGGTCATTATTTTCCATATTGTAATGATAAAAATGAAACTTTCATATATTTCAGATTCATTGCACACCAACTGAAATATTTCAGGTCTTTAATTGTTTTAATACTGATGATTATGGCATACAGCTCATGAAAACCCAAAATGCCTGTC